TATTTTAACTATATAATAAAAACAAATTAAAAACTAAAAATAAAAAAATCATTATCATTTTTAAGAAAACAATTTCTTGTTTACTAAAATGTTAATTAATGTTAATAATATCATCATCAATTTTTGGTTATTATACAGATTTAATATTTATATTTTAATACTTATACTTTATAAAAATTAAAATTTCACACACACAAAATTTTCTGGATACATTTACAATTTCATTCATGAAATTACTGAAAATATATGTACATAAATAAAATATTTAATAAAAATATTTTATAAAATATTTAATAAAAATTAAATATTTAATAAATTTTATAAAAGTTTCTATTTTAATAACTTCACTAGACATTATTTATCTTATAATACTTTACTTCATCATATTATATAACTTATGTCAATTTTTCATTTTTTAAAATGTTTTGAATTATTCTTTATATTAAGAAGAAAATTAATTTATATTAATTTATGAAGATCAAAGATTTTTCTGTATATTCTTATTATGTAATGTCATTCTCGAGTCTAAAATTCCATTGAATATATTTATAAAATATTTTATTTCAATTATATCCAATAATCCCTATTTGCTTCAAACGTTATCTACAATAGAACCACCAAACAATACAAGCCTACAATGTGATCTTCTAATAGCTTAATGATTCATGCACAGTTTTTAAATCGGGCTCGATTCGCGAATCGCGATGATAATAATTTACAATCTCGAGAACAATGGCCCCTCTCTTAAACCTCTTTTAACAAAAAAAAATTTGGTGCGGTGGGATCTCAATGAAGATTCCGCTCTACCTGCGACAGGTGAACACGCCGTTCCATGGACGTAGTTGGAGTTACTCGACTTCTCCATTGTATATACGTTAACCATACATGTGGCCTATGTACTCTCGCGCGCACCAACTTGTATAGACAGAATCGCCTAGATTCGAATTTAAAGGCGATCGTTATTCAATTCAAATACTAAAGCTAACGGGCCTTGTCGTAGGATTTCCGCTTCGATGTGTTTCGCGTGCGGGTTTGTTACTGTATTCTAGAAGAAGAATCGGGTTAAGGAAGGTCAGGTCTGGGATCCGATCGACCTGAAACTGTGGCCGATTCCGTCGAGATTTGGGTTAAGTAAGGTCAGGTCGATTCAAACGAACAGACGAATCCGATCGAAAGGATTGTATTGTCGATGATATTTGGGACATTGCCAGTCATCTCTTTTTTGAATCTTGTCAGCATTTTGGCACGTCAATTCGAATGTTTCAAAAGTGTTGGAGATGGTTTTGTTTTGCTTTTGCTTTTTTTTTTCTTTTTACATAGTTCTTTTTGTTGCGAACTTTTGGAAAAGAAATATATACTGTTTCGATTGATTACCATCGAATTTTTTTTTGTATTTTCTTTTGGATACTGATATAATAAAGTTTATTTTTTCTTTATATATATTTTTTTCTCCAGTTAATCATTGAATTTTTGATTAGTTTCTAGATAATTGATTTGATTGGAATTTAAAAATGATGTAATCTTTTTTTTTATATTTATTTATTTACTTATATTTATT